TCCAGGAGAGTCACGTGACAGAGATGAAAGGGGTCCCCCATAGGCTGTGCTAAAGAGGACCCCGGCCCAGGAGGGCTCTGTCTCTTATGCCCCACACCCAGTCTCTGGGGAAAGATGGCCACACTGCCCACCTCCCTTTCCTCCCCTCCACTCCCTACCCCACACACATGGCCCAGGCACGGTTGGGGCTGGGGCGTGGGGGGCATGAGCCACCATAAAGGAAGCCCAGTCAGCAAATGCTGGGCCCCAGCAACCAGGTGGCTGTTGGGCCCAGCACAAAGGAACTTCTCTTCAAGCTCCCACCTCACCGAGGCCCCGTGTCTCGCTGCCCGTCGAAAGGTCAGGAGCCGTCACACAGATGCGGGCAGCCGGGACGGAAGCCAACCAGGCCCTCTCTGAATGGCGCCTTTGCGCTGGCTGTGCAAGGTCCAAGTCAGTGACATGACCTCTCTGGGCTTCCTCGCGCAGAGCATGTAAAGCTAATGACAGTAGCAGCAGCAGTAGCGATACGTTATTAGGAGTCGGAGGACTTATTGATTTTTGTCTCCCAAGTGGAGCGATAGCACAGTGGGTAAGGCGTTTGCCTTGCACGCAGCTGACATGACTGATCTGGGTTCGATTCCTCCGCCCCTCTAGGAGAGCCTGGCAAGCTACCAAGAATCTCTCCCCTGAACGGCAGGCAAACTCCCAGTGATGTGTTCAACATGCCAAACACAGTAACAACAAGTCTCACAATTTGTTGTGAGACGTTATTGGTGCCCGCTCGAGCAAATCGATGAACAACGGGAGGACAGGGCTACAGTGCTAAGAGTTGCTCAGGAGGTCCCGGAACTCTCAGCCAATCGAGGAGTTCAAGTTCAGGCCCTTCGATGTGGTGCTCGGTTTACCCCGGCCAACCTGGTCGAGCGTGGGGGGCCCCAGGGCCATCCCCATGAGGCTCAGGGGTCCATGTGGGCTCGGCTGCACATAAGACATGTGCCTTAAGCCCTGAGCTCTCTCTCTCTCTCTGCAGCCCAGGAGTCGGGGACTGAAGGACTCATGAGGTGACCGTGCCCTGGAAAGTCCTGGCCAGCCATCTGTCCCCCACGTGGGGGATGTGCAGGCTCCTCCCCGGCCCTGGCCTCAGGGCTCTCTCCTAGGGGAGATTCCTAGTCCTGTCACCACCACTCTGGCTTCATGCTTTCATTTCTGCAGCCTGACGGGAGGGAGGCGGGGTTTCATCTCCCCGTGGGCTGGAGGCTGCCCCAGAAGTACCTACCACAAAACTCACCTGTTCACACCTCACCTGTGTGGCCCAGGTCAAAGTCTGCTTGAGTAGCAGGTTCTGGTACCCCTCGCTCCCTGAACCAGACTCTGGGGCCCAGGAGTAAGCTGGCAATCTGCTTGAACAAGCCCTCGGGGGCTGTTTGACGCTGTTTGGGCATTTGGAGCCCATGGAAAGAAAGAAACCTTGTCCCCCCCCCCTTGCCCACATGACCCCAGCACGTGGCCAAGAACCCGTGTCCTGCCATGTGGAAGCCGAGGCGTCGGTGGGGTTCTCTGAGATTGTGGGGGTGCTATTACCTGTGGGGCTCACTCAGGGCCACGTGAGTCCGTTTCTGGCCCTGCAGGTCTCAGGCCCAGAGGCAGCTCGGAGCTCGGCACTGGGAACCCAGACTTAGGGAGGGTCAGGTATTGGGAAAGGATCTCTGGGGGGCCCAAGAGACGGGGTGCCCCCACCCTGCGATGCCCGCGGGGGCAGAAAGGGCCCACATCTGCCCCGGGTCTCCTGAGCTCTGGGGGCATTGGCCTCTGAGGCAGCCCCTTCTCTACTTCACCATCGCTGGGTGCCCTACTTGCCAACAGTTCCCTCCACCCAGGGGCAGGATCACAGATCTTGGCGGGAGGAAGTCAGAGTCAATAATCAATAATCAAGGTGACACAGTTCTTAGGGTCCCCAGCTCAACAGCCCCTCAGAGCCAGCAGAACAGCTCCCTTGTTCTACAAGCACGCGAGAGCAGGACTTGCTGGTGAGACACTGGCCCCTCTCACGGCTGCTGGGCCCTCGGTCACGCCACCTTGGGGTGCTCTCCAGAACCTTCTTCCCTCTCCTCCTGGCCTGGCTCTGCAGCTGTGCCTATGAGCTCAGCAGTGACGCCGATGACACCCCAGACCCCCCTGGGTGGAGAGAAGGGCACACACATGTGACCGCCCTGTGGTTAACCTGGACGCACGTGTCTGGTGGTCCCCAGGGCCCGGGTGGCAGGTTCTCGGCAGAGCTGCCAGGTGAGGCCTGGGGCTGCGGTTTCACGGTCCGTGGCCCTGCCTGCTGCACCCGGACTCCCCTCTCCCCTCACACTCCTCCTCTCCCTGGGGGTGGGGTCTCCCAGGGGTCATGGGGGAGCAGGGTCCAGCCTGGTACCCATCCTCCTCAGGGTCCGAGGACTCGAGCCTTTATCTGCCCGGAGCTGTGGGGCCTCAGGCAGCCATGCAGTCTCTCTGTGCAGCCGCCCCTATGCAAAGGCTCCCCTTCACCCCTGGCTGCCAGGGAGGGGCCGGTCAGTTCCAGTCAAGGACCAGACACCAGTCAGTCCCACAACCCGCCCCAGGACCCCTTGTTCCTCGCAGCGAGGCCCACACACACGGTCCCTTGAGCAGCGTTTGCGTCCCAAGCACCCAGCGTTGGCTTTGGGTCCCCAAACGCCCGACAGCTGACCCGGAAGCATTTGTTCTTCTCTCCCACTCTCCCCAGTGGGAGGCCTTTGGCGGGAAGGGTCTAAGCCTTCCCCGGTCCTTCCCTCTCTCGTTCTACAAGTCAAATGAGGACAGTGAGAGTCAGAGAGGTTTAGCGATTGGTGCCCGGTCACACAGGATGTGCGCGTTAGTTACTGCCTCTGAGGCCACTCATCTCTGTTGGGACCATCGATTTCCTCCTCGACTGAGGCAAACCGTCCCGGTGAACCCTGCGCCTGACTTGGTGCCTGAGGGGGTCTTGTCCCACCAGCACGGCTGCCGTGAAGACGCCAGAAACCACGCCTGCTGTCTTCCCTGCGAGATGTCTGGAGCGATCCAGACACGTCCACCAACACCCACCGGGGAAGGCTGGGCGGCCACTGATGAGCAACCTGGGAAAAGGTGTGCGGGCAGGAACCACACAACACTGGCCAGGAAGTCGGTATGGTGGTCTTTAGAGGAAAGACTCCCCTCCCCCAATCTATTCCTCAGCAAAGCAATCGGCTCCCCCGCCTTGATGCTCCTCCTCCTTCCGGTCAAGTTCAGGCTCCTAGATCTGGCCTCTGGGGCCCCTGGGCTCAGTCATCACTGTGTCCTCATCTGCCTCCCCTCCGGCCGGCCTCTCTACAAGGGTCCGTCCTGGACATTTAACCTCATCCAGGAACTGCGCGGAGGCCCCTGGGGAGGAGGCCCTAGTTACCGAGCAGGGCCAGCGCCCACCAGGTGCTGCACACACACACACATACTCTGCACCGAGTCAGCCCAGGGGGTGGGGGTGGGGGTGGCAGTGTCCGCTATTATTAGTCTCATTTTGCAGATCAGCAAACTGAGGTCAGCAAGTTCAGGCAATCAGAACTGCGGAGCAACGCGGCAGCTGAAGGGGTGCTCGGTGTGTGGCTTCCCGCGTCAAGCCCTCTGGACCCAAGAGCCACCCACCTGCAGCAGGTGGCATGCTTGGGTGCCCAGCTGTCGGAGTCCCGGGGGGCCCCAGCCAAGCACTGAGTGACTTAAGTGATCAGGGCCACAGCCTTCGGGGTGTAGGGAGATGGGCACGCCCACAGCCCCTGCATCACCTCCCACGAGCCCCACTGGAAGCCCTGTGGTTTCAGCCTGGGCTGGGGGGCAGGGGGGGAGGGGGGGCAGCAGCTAGGGCGGGAAAGCCTGGGCAGTGCGGGCACAGGCTGGGTCCCCTACACTCGGCCCTGACACTGGCGGCTAGCTGGAAGGCCACGTTATCCACCCACTTTAGAGACAGGAAAAAGGAGGCTCGTCCCTGGGACACCTGGCAGAGAGGGGGCTGAGATCTGAGTCTCTGGGAGGGAAGCAGAGGACCTGGACCTCCTCCTCCCCAGGTCCTGCCCTCCCCCACCCCCATTCCTATCGGGGGTCGGTTTCTGGGGAAGGGTGCCCAGCGCTTGCCCTGCGGGGGGTCCCCATGAGCACACAGATGGGGCCGGAGAGAACAGCCTCCTGGAGGGGAGTCAAGGAACCCGGCGTGCAAGCCTCACTCCGCCCCAACAGGCCACGGGTCCCAGGCGGCACTTCCTCCCGCCCCGGCCCCCAGGTACAGGGGGGCGCCCCGCCGCCGCCGGTCTACCCTGGAAGAGAGGCGGCGGGAGAGGAGCTGGGTCCGGCGGTTGGAGCCCCTCCCCAGGCACCCAGCTGGGGCGCGCCCGGCAGGCCAGGAGGCGCTCCCGGCTCCTGGACCCGGCAGTTTGGGAAGCCTCAAGCCCTGCTGCTCACGGCGGCAGTGCTCGGCGGCCCAGCACAGGCCCCGCAAAGCGAGCCCGGGAAGGCCACTGGACAGGACACTGACCCTCCCATAGGCGCTCACTCGGGACCGGTCACTAAACCTTTAGGCGGGTCCCTTCGCCTCGGTTTCCCCGGCCAGTTCACTAAGGACCCCGGAGTGGACCGGGGAGGGCGCGCGGGGATCCGGAGGGGAAGTGCCCAGCCAGGACTGGACAGCGGGGCTGGCCCGGCCGGGGGATCCCCCTCGGCGGCTGCCCCAGGGCTGGCGGAGGGGTCACTTCCTTCCGCGCTCGGTCCCTCACCTCTCCTGTTTGCCTCCGCGGAGCGCGGCCGCGGGGGAATCGGAGCCGGATTTCCTGCGCGGACCTGCGGCTCCCGGCGCCTGGCCGCGCCGCCGCTGACCCCGCCGGCCCGCCGGCCCGCGGACTGCACGTGCGGGGGGCGGCGCCCCCGAGCCGGCGGCCGGGCGCTAGGACCGCGCGGCGGGCGGCCGGCGGCGCGCGAGGCTATTTAAACCGGCCGGCGCCCCTCGCGGGCCGAGCTCGGTGGGCAGCGGGCCGGACCCCGGGACAGGGCCGAGCCGCAAGATGCGCCGCGGCCGCGCCGAGCCAGGTAGGAGCCCCCCGCGCCCCGCCCCCGCTCCGGGCCCCCACTGTCCGGGGCCAGGTCCAGCTCGACCCACCGCGCCGCCCAGCCCGACTCGACCCGGGCCAGAGCAGGGGCGGGAGCGCGGGGGACACGGGGTGCGCGGGGGACACGGGGTGCGCGGTGGACACGGGGTGCGCGGGGGACACGGGGTGCGCGGGGGACACGGGGTGAGCGGGGAACACGGGGTGCGCGGTGGACACGGGGTGCGCGGTGGACACGGGGTGAGCGGGGAACACGGGGTGCGCGGGGGACACGGGGTAAGCGGGTGGACACGGGGTGCGCGGGGGACACGGGGTGCGCGGGTGGACACGGGGTGAGCGGGTGGACACGGTGTCCGCAGTGGACACGGGGTGCGTGCACAGTGGACACGGGGTGCGTGGTGGACATGGGGTGGGCGCGTGTGCGGGTGAACACGGAGTGCACGGTGGACACAGGGTGAGCGGGTGGACACGGGGTAAGTGGGTGGACACTGGGTGAGTCTGTGTGCGGATGGACACGGGGTACACACTGGACATGAACATGGGGTGTGCAGTGGACACGGTGAGTGGGTGTACGGGTGGACAAGGGGTGATGGGTGTGCAGTGGACACGGGGTGGACACAAGGCTATGTGTGTGAGGTGGACACGGGGTGTGCGGTGGACACAGGGTGTGCGGTGGACACGGGGTGGACACAGGGTGATGGGTGTGTGGTGGACACAGGGTGATGGGTGTGCGGTGGACACGGGTGCGCAGTGGACACAGGGTGGGTGTGTGTGCAGGTAGACATGGGGTGTGTGGGCGGACACGGGGTGAGCAGGTGGACACGGGGTAAGTGGGTGGACACTGGGTGAGTCTGTGCGGATGGACACGGGGTGCACACTGGACATAACATGGGGTGTGCAGTGGACACGGTGAGTGAGTGTACGGGTGGACAAGGGGTGATGGGTGTGCGGTGGACACGGGGTGGACACAAGGTTATGTGTGTGAGGTGGACACGGGGTGTGTGGTGGACACGGGGTGGACACAGGGTGATGGGTGTGAGGTGGACACGGGTGCGCAGTGGACACGGGGTGGGTGTGTGTGCAGGTGGACATGGGGTGTGTGGGCGGACACGGGGTGAGCAGGTGGACACGGGGTGAGCTGGTGGACATGGGGTGCTCGGGTGCGTGGGTGGACATGGTGATGGGTGTGGGGGTGGACACGGGGTGCGTGGGTGGACTCGAGTGCATGGTGGACATGGGTGTGGGTGTGTGCAGGGTGCGTGTGGGGTGTGCCCGTGTGAGTGAGTGCATGAGGGTCCTGTGGGAGTGTGTGGGAGGGAGCACACGTGCGTGAGTGTGTGTGTGCATGGCGCTGAGGCAGGGAGGCGCAGGGGTGGCGTCTGCTGTGCTGGAATCTTCCCCCGGAGGCAGATGAGGCTGGGGTGTGGGTTGTACCCTGGGACTCTGGGTAAGTCACTGCAAGACTCAGTTTTTCTTTTCTCTTTCTGGTTTCGGGCCACTCCCCCCTGGTGCTCAGGGCTCACTTCTGGCAGTGCTCAGGGGTTCCCGGGATGGGTCCCAGCAGGTGGGGTGCCTGCCAAGCCAGCCCCGTCCCTGCTGGGGCTCACAGAGCCGCGCTTTCCTTTTTCATCCCGGCCAGAAGGAGGCCCCGTTCCACAGGGGACAGGCACTGCCCGAGCAAGTCCAGCCTTGGGCCGGTAGAGCTGGGCTGGGGGCAGCCGCCTCTGAGCCTCGGTGTCCCTGCCTGAGAGTGGAAGCTCTGCTGGCAGCTGGGCTTGAGGAGAGTGACCGAGGTCTGGATCCCGCGCTAGAGGCTGCAGCATCTCTCGGGTGGCCACGGGCCGTAGAGGTCCCCCCACCCTGCCTCCACCTTTCTGCCCCCAGCCTCCTCCCCAGGCCGGGTCTCTGCAGTAGCCAGGCAAAGATGGGGTGTCTGCTCTTGTCCCCCACCACAGTGCTTGGGGGCAGTTGGCGCAGAGCCAGATCCAGGCTGCGGCCAGGCTGAGGGGCTGAAAGGTGAGGGGCTGGGCCCAGAGACTGCAGGCGCCTGGTCCTCTGGGCTCCTCACAGCCTCCTGGGCACCATGGGGGGGGGGGTGCCCTTGTGGAGGGTCCCTTCCAGCCAGAGATCAGAGCATGGCGGTCAGGCAGGGGTCTGTCCCTGTGCGGGCAGGTGGGACGGGCGCCCCCCCCCCCCCCATCCCCTGCAGCTCTGACTTCAGGTTCCCCTCGCACACTCGCCACCAGCCCCCACCCGAGTGTCTCGCCACACCACCACCACAGCCCCTCACCTCTTCCCGAACACCCCTTCACCCCTCCCCTAGTACCACCTCATCCCATCACCCCTCCCCTCCCTGAGAGAGTGAGTACCCCCTCACCCCTCCCCTCCCAGTCAGCTCCCCTCCCCCCTCCCCCCCCCCCCCCCCCCCCCCCCCCCCCCCCCGTCAGCTCTCCTCACCCCTCCCTGACCAGTGAGAGTGAGCGCCCCCTCACCCCTTCCCTCCCTTCCCAGTGAGAGCAATCCTCCCTCAGTCCTTGTCCCCACAGTGACCCGTGGGGGATGAACAGGCCTCAGGGAGGGGTGGAGGGGCAGCAGGGGCAGAGGCCCGGGGCAGTTCCAGGCTGCATGAGGGCGAGGGGATGAGGCCAGGACGGGTTTCTTGTCTGTCCACAGGCCCCAGAGTGGCCCTGAGGGGGGACAGCAGGCACCGACTGCTCCAGGGAAGGGTCCGTGGGAGGTGTATGGGGGGCACTGCTTTCGTGGGAGGTGTATGGGGGGGGTGGGGGCAGTGCAGACAGAACCCAGAATGGGGCTAAGGGCATGGCAGGTGTTCAAAGGCAAGAAGCACTGCTTCTGGGTGCCCAGTGCTTGGCCGCTAGCCGGGGACATGGGTCCCAGAGGAGCGGGAGATGGCCCTACACTTTCGGGGGCTTCCTGTCAGGGGAGCCTGCTCCGAGCTGAGTCCTTGGGACCTGAGGATGGGGCGGGCCCCATTGGGAGGTGACACTCAGGGAGATCCAGGGCCAGGAGCACTGAATGTGGAAGGGAGGAAGCAAGGCATGGGGAAGGGGAGCCCCCCAAGAAACGGGCATGGTCAGGGGCCCAAGTGGGGGGTCAGGATGGGGGACAGAGGCCAGGCAGGGCCCAGTCTTCAGAGCATTCAAGAGAATGTGAAGATTTTGCATTTTAAATGGCAAAACAAAATCTGTGAAAGCCCCACCGGCAGAGGAGAGAGAGAGAGAGAGAGAGAGAGAGAGAGAGAGAGAGAGAGAGAGAGAGAGAGAGAGAAAAGCTGGGGCACAGGGCTGGGGAAGGGGGCAGGGTGGGGGGTGGCAGCCTAAGGAAGGGATTTAAAAGATCCGTGTAACCTTGGCGAGTTGGAGCAAGAGTAGATGACCGGCTGGAGCAATAGTAGTCCCTCAGGCAGGCAGGGTGCACAGCTTACACTCAGCCAACCCAGGTTCCATCCCCGGCATCCCATACAGTCCCCTGAGCCCTGCCAGGAGTGATCCCTGAGCACTGAACCAGGAGTGACCCCTGAGTCCTGCAGGTGGAAACTCCCTTTCCAATAAAAAAAAAAAAAGGCTGGTGAAGCAGCCTCTGCCTTTAGACATGTCAGCAAGAATACTAGCAGATTGCCACCAGAAGGGGGCGTTGGGGAGAGGCGTGCATGAATGAATGAATGAATGAATGAATGAATGAACTTAACGGAGTTTCGTCCCTACCTGGAGCCTCTGGCTCCTGCCCCCTCCCACCCACCTGCTAGGAGAGAAACGTTGGCCCAGCAAGTGAAAGTCGAGGCCAGAGTAAGCGTGGAGGGCAGCGGTGCAGGCCAGGGCTGGCCCCCTGCCCGCACTTCCTGTCCAGGCCTCAGGCCCGACCTGCAGACAATGGCAGGGATTCCAGAACCAGAAAATCAAAAGAAAAGGGACAAAATAAAAATGAGAGGTTGGGGGCAGGTGGGGGGTGGAATTCCTTCTGGGTCCAGCAGGAGGGGCTGGGCTGGGCAGTGGTTGGGTGGAGGTGGGGGAGTGCTGGCCATGGACTGGCCTCGCTCCCCATGTCACCGAGCTGGCCCTGAGTCTGGTCTGGAGCCCTCTGGGTTCCTCGGCTCTAGCTCAGCCCACCTCCCACTCCAGACTCCCTTCCGCCGCACGGGGTGTCTCTGGAAACCGAAATCGGATCACCCTCAGCTTCAAAATTCCTGCTGGGCAGAGAGTCAAGGCCAAGCCCTTGGGTTGATGCTGGGGGCCCTTCGTGATGGGCTCAGCCCCTCATTGCCCAGCTCCAGCCGGGGGAGGAGAGGCCTGGAGGTCCCAGAGGGTGAGGATGGACACGTGTGAGGGTGGGACTCGTGGTAGTGGGACAAACCAGGGATGTGACCCCGTGTCTCCTGCCTTCCTTCCACAGAGCCATGAACTGCTTGTTCCTGCTGTCCTTGGCCGTCCTGCCGCTGGCCCTGGCTACCTCCCAACACCGCGCAGACAAGGTGCCCTGTAAGATGGTAAGAAGAGGGTAAGCCCCCTCCCCCCCACACACACCCCGGGGCTCTACGGCCCCAGCCCCAGTTTAGAAGTCAGAGACGTTCAAAGAGGTTTTGGGGTTTTTATGGCGGTGGTTTATTTGAGACCATACCCTGCAGAGACCATGCCCTGACTCCTGGCTTTGTGCTCAGGGGTTACTTCTGGAGCAACTCAGGGGACCATATGGGGTGCTGGGGCTCGGACCCAGGGGAGGAGCAGCCGGGCACCAGCCAGGCACCAGCCGGGCACTGCGCCCAGCTCCCGCACCTCCCCTGCACTTCCTTTCCAGGCCCTTCTCCCTGCAACTGGGCTGGAGCGATAGCACAATGGTAAGGCGTTTGCCTTGCACGCGGCCGGCCTGGCCGAGCTGGGTTCGATTCCTCCGCCCCTCTCGGAGAGCCCGGCAAGCTACTGAGAGTATCTTGCCTGCAAGGTAGAGCCTGGCAAGCCACCCGTGACGTATTCAATATGCCAAACACAGAAACAACAAGTCTCACAATGGAGACGTTACTGGGCCCGCTCGAGAAAATCAATGAACAACGGGAGGACTGTGCTACAGTGCTCCCTGCAACAGCAAAATGAGGAGGGGTGCAGGTCCTTCTAAAGGCAGACCTCATACTCCTCCCCAGGACCCCTGGAAGTGTGGGCGCAGTTAGGTGGGGGGCTTGGAGTGCCGGGAGCAACAGGACCCCGGGCATGTGGGCATCTGGGCCATCACGGCTTACCAGCACCTTCCTCACGGGCTGTGCTGGGTAGCCTGGTGCTGTCCTGAGCTTGTCTGGGCTCCGTGCAGGCATCTGGAGCCCGATCAGAGCATGTTGGGCCCTGGCCTGAGCTTTCGGGCCCGTCCCCAGAAAGTCCGGAGGTGAAACACTTTCAGGCGGGACATGGAATCACATCCCTGGCTTGTCCCATCACCAGTCCCACCCTTAGTGGCTGCTTTCTGTGCTCAAGGAGGAAGCTGGGACAGCCCTGGCTCTGTCAGATAAGGCACGGGGTGGGATGGGTGGGGGTCCTGGAGGGGTCTCATCTCGGGGGAGTCCACCCTGCTCTGCTCCGCTTCTTTGCTTTTCTGTTTCCTTTTCTTCTTGATGTTTGGGTCACAACTGGTGATGCTCAGGGCTTACTCTAGGCTCTGCACTCAGGAATCACGCCTGGTGGTGCTAAGGGGATCCTCTGGATTGCCGGGGATCGAACCCGCTCAGCCACATGCAAGGCAAATGCACTACCCGTGTACTGTTGCTCCGGCCTCTCCTCTGCCCTCCCCCCTCCTCCCCTGCCCTCCCCTGCCCTTTCCCCTCCCCTCCTCTCCTCTCCTCTTTTTGGTTTCGGGCCACACCTGCAGGTACCCGGGATTACTCCTGGCTCTGTGCTCAGGGATCGCTCTTGGCGGGGCTTGGAGGACCACATGGAATACAAGGGATCAGAATGGGGTTTTCTGTGTGCGAGGCCAGTGCCCTCCACGCTGCGCTGTCTCTCTGGCCCCCGGCCTCCATTTCTTTAGTGGTTCCAGTGGGGTGAGTCCTGGGGCACGTAAAGGAGAGGGTGTCCTGAGCCAGGATGGGTGCTCTGAGACGGGTGTTTCTCCTGGAGGTGAGGCTGTAGGAGCCCAGGAGGGCCCTGGAGGCTGTGCGGAGTGTTCCTGGAGGCTGGCAGAGGGGACAGGCAAGGAGGGCAGGCTGGGCATCTGTTCCGCACAGCGTCTAGCTCAGGGCCACCACTGCAGGGGACCAGCCTATCACAGAGCCAGGAGAAAGGCCATGCCCACCAGCTGCCCAGCACTGTCTGTGGGGGGCTGCCTTCTCCTATGGCCCCTACCCTGCGTCTCCCGTGGCCCCACACCCTGTCTTCTGGCACCCCCATCTCCCAGGACCCCTCTTTTCTGCAGAGGCCCTCACCCTATCTCTTGGTATCCCCCACCCTGTCTCCCAGGGTCCACCACCCTGTCTCCCAACACCCCATCTCCCGGCACCCCCGTTTCCCGGCACCCCCGTCTCTCTACACCCCCATCTCCCAACACCCCTGTCTCTCAAAACCCTCATCTCCCACACCCCCTGTTTCCTGGCACCCCGATCTCCTGACACCCCCATCTCCCACGCCCTCTCTCAGGCTCTCTGCTCTCTGGCCCTGGCTGGACACAGCATCCCCCTTCTCTCTCCTTTCCGGAAGGCGGCTGACACTTGGGCCAACGGTGTCTGGGACTCTCAGCTTCACCCACTCCTCCAGGGCCCCCCACAGCCGCTTGGCCAGCCCCTTCCCTGTCTAGCAGGTCCCCATGCTGATGGGCCCAGTTCAGGGATAAGTGTGAGGAGCACAGGACAGTGAGTGCCATGAGGGGTCCTGGAGCTGGGTATGCAGGGGGACCTCAGGGAGCAGGGATGTGGAGGACAGCCCACGGTGGACGAGAGGGACAGGGGCTGCTGTGGCGACTGGGCAGCTCCGGGACACGCAGGGAGCTGGGGAGCCAGGGCACAGGGCCACAGAGAGCCTGAGTGCCCTGTAGGGGGTGGAGAGTGACCAGGACACTGTGCAGAGGGCACCGGGCAGAGGGCAGGGTCCGAGCCTTTGTCAGGTGCATGGCAGAGGGGAGATTCTGAATGGACAGGTGGGCTTGTGTGGTCCTCTGTGGGGAGAGTCAGGAGTCCCAGGTGCTGGAGACTGCGGGAGGGAAGCACATTTGCAGAGGGAATTCTAGTGCCCGGGTTAGACCCCTAGCACTGCCACAATAATTAATGGCTTAAAATAGAAATCAAGAATCCTAGCTCCAAGAGCTGAAGCTATGGCTTGTACAGAGAGCCCTTGTGTGTGGAAGGCCAGGGTTCAACCTCTAGCACCACAAAATCAATTCCAAACACTGAAGAATTTTAGTTGCAGAAATCAAATGTGATGGAAAGACAAAGCTCTAATCCCGGTCTGCTCCTTACCAGCTGCGGGTCCCCCCTGGCCTCTCTGAGCTAGGGGCCCTATAAATAGGGGTTCTCCTTCTTGTTGGCAGGCTCTGATGGGGTCCAGGGAGGTGACGGGCTTTTCTGTTTGCTTTTTTTTTTTTTTTTGCTTTTGGGTCAGCAATGCACAGGGGTTACTCCTGGTTCTGCACACGGGAATCACTCCTGGCAATGCTTGGGGAACCACATGGGATGCTGGGACTCGAACTCGGGTTGGCCGCGTGCATGGCAAACACCCTACTCGCTGTGCTATCACTCCAGCCCCTGCTTGCTTTGTTTGGGGGCCACACCTGGCAGTGTTCAGGGCTTACTCCTGGCTCTGTGCTCAGGGATCACTCCTGGTGGGCTCAAGGGAACGTATGAGGTGTCTGGGATCAGACCTGGGTTGGCTGCATACAAGGCAAGCACCATCCCGGCTGTGCAGTGCTCCAGGCCTGAGGCACAGGCTTTAAAGTGCTCCGTCATGTGAACTGCTGAGTGGGTCGGTGGTGGGGAAAGGGCCACGTTCTGGGGAGGAGATGGGGCAGGGCTCAGTCCTGCCCCCGAAGGACTTGGCCAGGCCCCGTAGCCATCTTGTTCCCCCCCATCCCTACTTCTGCCCTCACCCCCAGGGCACAGGGGGTTCTGGGGCGCAGCAGTGGGAAGGAGGTCACGACAGGGGTGCATCGGGAGAAAAGATGGCCCCAGCAAGCTCTGTGGGCAGGGGGGTTGGGGGGTCGGGGGCGCTTCCTCCCCTTTGCAAACATTTCTCCACGCGTGGATTTCAGTCTGACCCCAACTGGGTTTAGTGGATGCTCTGGGCCCAAAGATGGTCCTGAACCATGGAGGCAGGAGGCTAGTACCCCCTCAGGGACTTGCTGCTTGCTGGCCTAGGGCTCCCTAAGCTTTGTCCACTGGGCAGTCTTCAGGGGTGGAGTGGGGGCGGGGGGGCTCTCTCACCCGTAAGCTCGGGTAGATGGGTCAATGGGACAGACTACGCCAGACATTCTGAAGACATTTCTGCTAAACGAGCCCCCACATTCAGTTACACGCCCCCACAGTTGAAGCAGATGGACTCTGGGCGAGGCCTGGCCCCACTGCCTGGGCCTGAGAGAGACTATGGCCCATGGCAGCTGCTCATCTGTCCTCTGGTTGGCCAGTCATTGCTCTGTCCCTCTGACCATCAGTTTCCCAGAGGCCCGGCCTGTCCCGGGTGCAGCTGTGGGGGGTCTCCATCCAGACTCGGGGTCATGAAGCGAGGATAGAGGAGTGTCCGGCATGTTGGGTTACCAGAAGAGGCCCCACCGAGCCACCTGCCCGCGGGGGTCAGGTCTGGCTCACCCTCCTGCCCGGTCTCATGCCTGCTCTCCCCTCTCCTCCTCCCCAGGTGGACAAGGAGGCCTTGTGCCAGGGCCTTGGCCTGCTGCAGGTGCCCACTGGGCTCCCGCTAGACATGGAGGCCCTGGACCTGTCCAGGAACCAGATCCGGGACATCCTGGCCACCCCTCTGGGCTTCTACAGGGCGCTGCGGCACCTGGACCTCAGCGCCAACGAGATCAGCATCCTGGAGCCGGGGGTCTTCCAGGCCCTCCCGCTGCTGCAGAGCCTCAGCCTGGCCCGCAACCGCCTGGGGGTGGGCGCCCCGCTGAGCGGCGGGGGCCTGGGCCCGCTGCCCCGCCTGGCCACCCTGGACCTGTCGGGCAACAGCCTGTACAGCGGCCTGCTGGAGCGGCTGCTGGGGCCGGCGCCCACCCTGCGGGCCCTCTCGCTGGCCGAGAACAGCCTGACCCGCCTGGCCCGCCACACCTTCCGCGGCTGCCCGGCGCTCGAGCGCCTGGACCTGCACAGCAACGTGCTGCTGGACATCGAGGACGGCGCCTTCGAGGCCCTGCCCCGCCTGGCCCACCTCAACCTGTCCAGGAACTCCCTCACCTGCATCTCGGGCTTCAGCCTCCCCCAGCTGCGGACGCTGGACCTGAGCTGCAACAGCCTGGAGGCCTTCCAGACGGAGCCCGAGCCGCGCGCCGAGTACCAGCTGGCCTGGCTGGACCTGCGGGAGAACCGGCTGCTGCGCCTGCCCGAGCTGGACGCGCTGCCCCGGCTCACCTACCTGAACGCGTCCAACAACCTCATCCAGCTCCCGGCCGGGCCGGCCGGCGCGGGCCGCGCCGACGCCCACCTGCCCTCGGCGGGCCGGCCGGCCGGGTCCCTGTCCGCGCCCGGCGGGGCGGCCAGCAATGGCTCGCTGGCGCCCCGGCTGCTCAACCTGGACCTGAGCTACAACGAGATCGAGCGCGTCCCGCAGGAGTTCCTGGAGCGCCTGCCCGGGCTGCGCGCGCTGAACCTGAGCCGCAACTGCCTGCGCGCCTTCGCGGCCCCGCGTCCAGGCGCGCTCCCCTGCCTCGCGCTGCTGGACCTCAGCCACAACGCGCTGGCGACGCTGGAGGTCGGGGCCGGGGCCCTGGGCTCTCTGCAGACGCTGTTCTTGCAGGACAACGGCCTGCAGGACCTGCCCGCCGACACCTTTACCAGCCTGGCCAGCCTGCAGCGGCTGGACCTGCGGCAGAACCGCGTCCGGCCCTGCGGGAGCCCCGGGGCGCCCGGCTCCGCGCGCTGCGTGGCCTTCTCGGGCATCCCCTCGCTGCGCGTCCTGAGTCTGGTGGACAACGAGATGGAGACGCTGCGGGCGGGGGCCTTCCGAGGCACCCCGCTGACCGAGCTGGACCTCTCGGCCAATCCCGGGCTGGAGGTGGCCACGGGGGCCTTGGAGGGCCTGGAGGCCTCCTTGGAGGTGCTGGCCCTGCGGGGCAACGGGCTGACCGTCCTGCAGGTGGACCTGCCCTGCTTCAGCTGCCTCAAACGGCTCAACCTGGCCGAGAACCGCCTGAGTGCCCTGCCGGCCTGGACACAGGCCGTGTCCCTGGAGGTGCTGGACCTGCGGAATAACAGCTTCCGCCAGCTGCCGGGCAGCGCCATGGGCGGCCTGGAGCCCAGCCTGCGGCGCCTCTACCTGCAGGGCAACCCGCTCAGCTGCTGCGGCAACGGCTGGCTGGCCTCGCAGCTGCACCGCGGCCAGGTGGACGTGGACGTGGGCGCCGCCCAGGACCTGCTGTGCCGCTTCGGCTCCCAGGAGGAGGGCTCCCTGGGCCACGTGCGCCCCGAGGACTGCGAGCAGGGTGGGCTCAAGAACCTCAACCTCCTCCTCCTCCTCACCTTTGCCCTGGTGGCGGCCATCCTGCTCACCACGCTGGCCACCTGCTGCTGTGTCCGCCGGCAGAAGTTCAGCCAACAGTACAAGGCCTAGAGGAGCGTGCAAGGCGGGTGGACGATGTGGGGGGTGGCCACTCAGCGTGCGCCCAAGGGGTGCACGTGACGCCCTCCCCTGGTGGGTGTCGTGGGTGAGCCGCGGTGCACTCCGGAAGCAAGAGAGGCCGCCGGCTCAGCACTCCCACGGTCCACTAGCTTGCGGCACGCCCTGGACACGGGGTGTGGGTGAGGAGGGCACAGCCCAGCCCTCAAACCGGTGCAGGTGGGAGAAGGCGGCAGTCCCAGACCCCGGCAGGAGGCGCGTAGGAGCCCCCTGAGCTTGCAGCTGGCCGAGGGCTGCAGGGAGGAGGGTTTGCCCGCCTGGGCTCCAGGGAGACTGTCATGTCTCCTTGTGACGCTCTGTCTTGCCGGGACACCAGGTGCTGGTGGCCTGGATGGTGGGTGCTTGAGGCAGGAGCAGCACCTGCTGGCGCCCTGTCCGTGGCTTTGTGGAGTTTCTGCCCTGGATCGGCCCATTCCGGGCCCCCTGGGATGGGGTGGCCACCCTGGCCCCGGCCCTCCTGTGATCTCGGTCCTGTTGTCTGACGGGCAGGAACTCTGGCATCTGGTTCTGCTTTGCACCAGGCGTGGCAGTCAGGATGCAGACCCCACGTGCCTCTCACCGCAACCCTCTGAGGTTGGCGTTCTTCATGAATGTGGCTCTCGAAGGTCCCAACCGGCGTCCCTGGCCAAGAAATGCCAGGACTGGGACTCAGGTGCTTACCCTGTTGGCTGCAAGCCCAGAGCCTTGCCCAGGACGGGGTGTAGACGGGACGGGGCCCTGGAAGCTGAGCCTCTCCGTGCTGCCCCTTGCTCTCCAGCCAGGCCCCCTCGCCCCGCCCTGCCTCGGTTTCTCTCTGTGTCCTCTCCTCGTCTCTCGAGCCCCTCACCCAGCTGCTCCCTCCACTGAGCAGAGCCAGTGTTCGAGACTCGTTGAGTCTCCCCGTTGCAGTCAGATAGGGAAGCTGAGGCAGGCAAAGAAATACTTCGTCTGCTCAGAGCTGCGCAAGTCACTGACAGCGGCTGGGGTGAGGTGAGGACTTGGAGAAGTGGGGCCATTGTGGGCCGGAGCGATAGGACAGCCAGTAGGAACTTGCCTTAGACACGACTGATGGGGCTCTGTTCCCAGCACCCCATCTGTTCCCTCGAGCCCACCAAGACTGTCCCCTGAGTGCAGAGCCAGGCGTATGCGCTGAGCACTGCAGGTAAACCTCCAAAACAAAACGGAACACACCTAAAACCAGAAAACCGATTGGGCATCCGACCTCACAGGGATGGTGCAGGGGTGAGAGGGGTCGGACCCGTATGGTTTGCTTGCTCAGCTTCACGTGACAAGCCGACGCTGGCTCCAAGGCTCTTTCTGGTTCCCACCATGCAGGAATTTTTCCCCCTAGAACAAGGAGTAGAAATAGCCCTCCTGACGTGACCCTCCGAGCCATCCCTCAGGGACTTGCCTTTGTCCGGGAAGGAAGAGGCTGGGCCAGGCGTACGGCTGCTCTCTTCCCCCGTCACTGTGCTCGCTTCTGATACTGCTTACTGCTTAGGAAAGCGTCGGGCAGCAAAGGTCCTTCCTTCTCTCCACCCCATTTTACAGACGGGAAAACTGAGGCCCAGAGGAGGTCGAGGACTCAGGGAGTCAATGGCAGAGTTGGGGCTGGTTCCTGCCCTGCTTGGGGTCCGGGGGGCGGTAGAGGGGGTGGGGGGCTCCAGCCCTGGGTGGGCTCACACTGGTGCACACAAACACTCCTCAGGCATGGCGGGTGGGCACGGCTCCGGCTCGCCTGCCCGAGATTCAGGAACACTACCCAATGCTGCTCACTCCCGGGCCCGGGGCCCCTTCTTTGTATAACCCCTGTGACGGAATAAAGCCATTTCTGCAGAAACAGTGTGGCCTGGAAGCTTGCTGTGGGTTCTCGGCTGCAGTGCTCTCCTCTGCAGGAGGGGTTAGAGGGGCCTGGGGCTGGGCAGGCACACTGCCTGGCCCTGAGGAGGGGGACTGGGCCAGGAACCTGGTGCCCGTAGCCCTTTCCCTGCCCTCAGAGGCCAGCAACTGCCTCCTGAGAGTGCCCCTCCCCTCCCCCTCTCCTTCCCCTCCCCTCCCCTCCCCCACCCGCTGCCCCTCCCCCTCCTCCCTCTGTTCTCCTCCCCCTGCCCTCTTCCCCCGCCCCCTCCCCTCCCTCTCCCCTGCCCTCCTCCCCCTCCCCCTGCTCCCTTCCCTCCCTCTCCCCCTGCCCTCCTCCCCCTCCCCCTCCCCTACCTCTTCCCTCCCCCTGTCCCCTGCCCTCCTCTCCTCTTCCTTTCCCCTCCTCCCCTCCCCACTTCCCCTCCATTCCCCCTCCTCCTCCTCCTCCCTCCCTCCCTACTATCCTCCTCTCTCTCCCCTGCCCCTGCCCCTCCCCTTTCTCTCCTCTTCCTCCCCCTTCTCCCCCTTTCTCCCCTTCCCCTCCTCCCCTTCCCCCCTCCCATCTTCTCTTCCTCTCTGATCCCCTCCTCCCCTCTCCTCCCACCCCTCCTTACCAGTAGTCCCCGACCCACTTCCCCACCTCATCCCCCTCTGGGTACAGTAGCCCCCCATCCTGAGACTCCCTCAGCCCTGCACCCCACGGGCCTTCTCCAGACTCAGGCAATCTCAGCCGCCCCCCCCCCCCCGCCCACCTCCTTGACCCTCACACACGGGCCTTACCTCACCTCCCATCCACACCCTGCCCATCCCGCCTCCCCTCTGCTTCTGCCAATCCCAGGGCGCTGTGGTCCTCGGGCCTCCCCTTGCTCTGCTCCCCTCTCTGGGCTGTCTGAAGGACCACCTTCCCCGGTGCCTGTCCTGCCTCATTGGTGGCCACCCCTGGCTCTGATGACACCCACGCCTGCGTCCTGGCACCCAGAGTGAAAGCAGACAGCAGAGTGGGGGGAGGGGTAATCGCAGGTGGCAGATCCCAGTTAAATTTAGGAGAGCAGGAGGGCCAAAGGAGAGCCCCCCAGATGGGGGGAGAGTTTGGGGTCCAGGAAGGACCAGGCTGCTCCCCCAGTGCCGGCATCTGCGTGCCTGAGTCTGCTCCTCCCTGCTGCCTGGGCCACTCAGGTCCCAGTGGAGGAAATGGGCGTGAGAGCGGTGCGGGCCGGGCCGCCTGGCCCCAAGCCCGCGAGGTCCCTGACCCCTTTTCCTGGAAAACAGCAGCGCTCAGTCACCTGGCTGAGACCCCCAACGAGGCAGAAATTCCTGTTTTCAGCCAAACACGGACACCGTTGCCAAATAGGTCATGGGAGCAGTGGCAGGTTCCAGGCGCCAGCCCCTGCCACATCAGCCCGAGGGTCAGGGGGGCCGGACGAGGGAGGGAGGAGAGGCAGCACCCCAGGGTGGGGGCCCTCTGCAGGCCGAGGTGCAGTGCCCAGATTCATCCTCTGCGGGGCCTTTAGGCAGTTCCTGGGCTCATCTCTAGCACCTCCAAACCGAATCACAGAGCCCTTTGAGCACTGCTGTCCTGTTTCAGTCCCGCCGGCTTGGGTGTGATGCCTCCCTGTAGAGAAACGGAGACACATAGGCCACAGCTGTAAGGGGCCAGGGCTGAGACCGACCCCACGGCTGCCCATGCAGAGTCAGTAAGCTGCCCACTGCCTAGCACTGCCTCCTGGCCCTCCCCCAACACCAGCCGCCTCCTGGAATGTTTCACCACAGCCCGCTTCCTACCCACTAGCCAAACTCCTCCTTTTCAACACTCGCCTGCATCACCACCTCCAGGCAGACCTCTCTGCTCTCCCCTCCCACCGCTCATAATTCCCATCTGCGTCATTTGCTAGAGAGAGTGGTCCTACATCTGCCTTACTGTGGGAGCCAGCACTGGGCGGGTGCAGCAGAGGTTGATTGACCCTGTGACCCCTGCCCTTTGGGAAACCCCCCAAACTTGTGGGGATTAAGTCCAGACTCAGACAAATATTCTCGGACACATCCAGGGGACCCAGAGGACATGGGGGGGGGGGGAGAGTCCAGGGATTTCATCTCACTTCCTCCTTTCCTTCCAGTCCCTCTGCCTCTGGGACTGTCTTATCTTCCCCGCCTCCTCCCCCCCCCCTTCCCCCTCCTCCTCCTCCTCCCTCCCTCCCTACTATCCTCCTCTCTCTCCCCTGCCCCTGCCCCTCCCCTTTCTCTCCTCTTCCTCCCCCTTCTCCCCCTTTCTCCCCTTCCCCTCCTCCCCTTCCCCCCCTCCCATCTTCTCTTCCTCTCTGATCCCCTCCTCCCCTCTCCTCCCAGAGAGCAAGGAGGGAGGCCAGGCTGTTTATAGGAACTGGAGCGGCTCCATCCATCAGCTCTGTTTGGAGCCGGGGCCCAAGGATAATAAATGCCTCGGCCCTGCCCCAGCTGTGCTCGGCCTGAACTTGGCCATCTGAATCTGAACTCCGGCTCTCAGCCTGCCCGTTCTCAGGCCCAGCCCCCGCCCCGCCCTCCTCCTCCCCCAAGGCAGCCTGGGAAGGATCCAGGGCCTGGACTCCACCTCGACTTCGTTTTGGGGGGCACATGGCAAGTCGGGCTGCTTGCCTGTGCCTCTGTTTCCCCAGCTGTGAAATGGGGTCACGGTCCCTTTCCCCGCCCTCCATCCCCACTCAGCCTGCTTGTGAAGCAACAGTGACTTGAGCATCTGCTCTGCGCTGGCCCCTGCGGGCTCTCTGGAGAGCCGGCCAGACCGCCAGTGGCCGAGCACCAGAAGAGGAAGTGGTCAGCACGGCGAGGGAGGTCCAGATTTGGGGCTCAGGCAGTTTGTTTGCCGCAGGGAGTGGCTCTCCCAGCTGGAGGGATGGAGTGAGGGGAGATTTGGGGGACATCCGTGCTGGCCTCACAGGGCAGGGTGGGATCACAGCCCGGGGGGAAGAGTTTCCAGCCCATCCAGGCTGCAGGCAGACACAGGCTGGGGTGCAGCTGAGGGTCTGGTCTGTCTCCGCCCTATGTCAGCCCATCCCTCCCGACTTGGCCTCCTGATCTTCCAGCACCTTCTTTTCTGAGCTTATTCCTCCCTCCTGGAACTTTCCTTCCTCTGGAGTGCTTCAGACGGACATTCCCGGAATACTGCATGTCCCCAGCCCGAGATCCCCCCAAAGATCATCCTAGAAAGTGTAAGATTAGGATAGGAGAAAGCCAGTGGTCAAGAGCAGATGCTTCTGGAATGAATCAAGGACTGAAGAAGAGTGAGT